GATTAAGAATTTATATGTAGTATCTTTATTAGAATTATTATAATAATAAAGATATAAGTTTAAAAAAAAATTTTTTTATCATGCGGTATCATGCGCATTAATGCGCATTCATGCGCATGTTATTATAAAATGCGATTTTTCCCATCACTATCCATAACACAAAAAAGAACAGGAGGAACCGTTAATGCTACATTAAGTGAGGGATTATATCCATCACACTTAAAGTTACATATAAATAATTTCCATTTAACTGATCACCCCGTGTGAATGACAGGGTGAGAGATTATATCCATAACATACATTTTAGAATAAACTCAAAATAAATAATTTTATTATCGATTAACTACATCGTGTGAATGATTAATGTGTAACATTGACGGTTTCTCCTGTTACAAAAAAGTAATTTGATAACGGACGAGATAATCCGGAAGTTAGATGAGAGTTATATTTAGGCATTTCAATTTAATAAATATAATATACAAGCAAATTTAAGTCATTTCAATAAGTTTACAACAATAATCTATTTATTTATAACTTACTTATTTATTTTAAAGACAGACACATACTGCCAGTAAATAGGTTAGTGATATAAAGCAATTAAAGCATGAGCTTACGAACTTTATGAGAAGTTAAAATATAGTGTTATATTTAAGATTATTAAAGCATAGTGTTACGTTCAAGATTATTAATTTGGAATTATGACAAATTCGTTTATTATTAATTAACTGTTCTTATTTACAATTAAAAAATTATTTATAAGGTTCTTATTGTCAAATGTTTCCTATTTATATTTGTTTTTTGTGCTTTTTATAAATTTTAAGTTTGATAATAGTGCTTCTTTAAAAAATAATATCTTGGATTTTGTTTGTTTCGAGATAATAATGATTTTATGTTTTAAATTGATAGGTTTTATAATAATGCATTTATTAATGCTAATTTATTTTATATGGCATTAATAGACGGAAACAATTACTTATACTAAAAAAGGATTTTTCAAAAATCAGCATAGGGAAAAGTTGAGCGGAAACCATCCTTCACACATTTCATGTTAGTACTGATAAGTATAAATAATTATATCATATAGTTTATATAGTTTATATCGAGTATAAAATTTGTGTTGTGAATAATTTCAATTAACCAATGATATTTTTACAAGTAGAGATGGGAATGGTGCTTAATTGTTACATTATTATAATTATGAAATCACAACGGATATAATTTTTTACATCAATTATAATATGTGACAATTAAGCACCATGCTGCATAGTGCCCATCTCTAGGTGAGTGTCGTTTATTACATAATTTTAGGGAAGGACAATTTATCATGTCTATAAATTGAATATTATGCTGATTTTACCAACCGGGAGGCTTCTAATAAAAAAAATTTACATAAAAAACGGCACATTCCTTATAATGAAAGTCCGTTATACATTTTAATTTAAAGAATTTCACTTAAATTTTGTCCTTATTTATAACTTTATAATACACAGTAAGAAATGTCAAAAAAGTAAATGACATACTTTATAGTAAATCTCAAATGGGTATGAACAATTATTATTGGAAAGAAAATGCCAGTGATTTTTCTAGATATAAATGTTTAGTAACAAGCGTTTCTGAGTCAAAAAAACCCATTATGACATCATGCAAAAAGAAGTGCAATGTCATTGATTTATATTACAGAGAAATAACACAGTAAATTTTGGCCTATTTCAGCCGTTGCTAAATTAAAATGCAAATAATTTTTATCCGATTATTTTATAAAAAGGGTCCAATTTTACTGAAATTAATTAAGGTGATCTACATAGATTAACCAATTAAATCGTACAAATTTACAAAATTTTCAAAATACAAACTTAGTTATATAATTGTTGTTTAAAATCATCTTTTATAAATTAATAATACAATTATATATTAGTCATTTATAATAATATTTGTTTATAATATAATATTGTTATAATAATTGGATAAATTTTTTTTTTTACTATATTTTATAAAATATAACTAGTAAAAAGTCGATTATTTTGTTTAATTAAATCCAAAAAATGATCATTTTGTTAAAAAAGAAAACAAATTAATAAATTTAAAATAATAAGAAAATATATATTAAATGTTTAATCTATATAAATAAATAAAAAATTTAAAAATTTTAAGAGCAAAATATGAATCATTATAAATGCAAAAGAATATTATAGAATCTAAAAATTTTAAAGATATAATTTATATAATTTATAATAAACTTACACAAATAGATATAAGTCTTTTAGATTGCATTGACAAATTAAAAGACAACATTGATAAATTATATACAAACTTCATAATAACTGAAATTATAAGACAAAATTCAAATTATTTAATAATAATAACAATTAAATTAATTTTTTTTTATAATAATACTATTATAGAAAATAACAATCAAATAATAATAAAATAAAATAAAAAATTATTAATTAGCATAAAAAACTCATTATAAAGTAGCTTATTTATTATTTTTATCAAATTAATTATATGGGCTGTGTGCTGAGAAAAGGGACCAAATTGACAAAAAAATTTTTTTGAAAATAATAAATGTTCTGAATCAGATGATCAAACCTACATTTATTTTTACTTAAGAACTTTTTTTCAAAAAAAAAATCAATTTGGTCCCTTTTCTCAGCACACAGCCCATATATACATAATATAATAAAAGTAATATTAATATTACTTTAATATAAATTATAAATATCTAATAAAACTATTTTAACATTAACAAATTAATAAAACTTATATATTTCATCATTAATAAATTAATAAACTAAATTTTATCAAACATCTTTAATATAAATGCTTGACCTTAAAAATATTATAACCTTCAAAGAGAATAGTTAAAAATATTGAATCAAGCTTTAAGTTAGTTCAAAAGATGATAGATAATATAAAATCTAAACCAAACAAAAAATCTTTTAATACTTAGAATAAACAAAATAAGAATGTTTTATATAAGTAATAAATTTATAATTTATAAATATTTCATGTTACAATAATAAAGTTATATAAAAAGCAGTTTGATGATCATCCTAACGTTGCGGTTTCACCATATCATAGAGGCCTGCATTGAGTCCCGTGGCTTGGATCCAAATTTTATAACAGTGGGAGAGCGGACAAAAATTTTCAAAATTTTATAATAAATTTTGTGGACCAGGCTAGCTGAAGAAAAAAAAATCAATATATAGGCGGACGGGACAGACCGGCAAAAAAAATTTACAACTGTTTTCATAATTCTGAAAAATCTGACAAAAATTGAACGACCGAATATTTGCCGATTCGATAAGTTTTGATTCGGTAATGATAAACTTTTGATTCAGATGTAATCACATTCGAATCAAAAGTTTATAATTACCGAATCAAAACTTATTGAATCGGCAAATATTTGGTCGTTCAATTTTTGCCAGATTTTCCAGAATTTATGAAAACAGCTGTAAAAATAAAGCGGGCCGGGCCACAAAAATAGGTAATTTGCAGACCCTTACCTGTCATATTATTTTTTTTATGTACGTACCATTTATATAATAAATCCCTACCATATCGACAGATTTGCACAGTCTAATAAACAAAGAACCCATCAGTTATAATTCCGGTCAAATTTGTAGATTATTCGGCCAAATTTTAAATTACGTATTTTCTTGAAAATCTGGTTGTGATTTTACGTAATTTTTGCAAAATGGCTTCATATAAGGAAAGTTATATTTTCACACCCAACCAAAAATATACCTTATACTGTTAATTTTAGTTACGTAATTTTAGTTACGTAAATGATATTGAATATTATTAACCCAGATATGATCACATCCATGTTATCTTAACCGCGATATACATTCAAAATACTCAAATTAATAATACTATCACTCATTTAAGAATTTAATATAAAATGGTGGGAAAAGCGAGTAATTCCTACGCAAAAAAAGCATAAATAATAAGTAAATAAATTAATAATAAATAAATAAATAATAAATAAATAAATACTAGCATATTGTATTCACCTAACATCTAATACTCTAAAATGTATTACTACTTAGCAGTAATTATCGCATTTGCTAGCTACTTTTTGTATAAATGTTATATTTATCCTTTATATTTGTCGCCATTACGTAAAATTCCTGGTCCACCTTCTGAAAATATAATTCTTGGACATTATGCCACTTTCTTGAAGGGAGATCATGGTATAGCTTTTTCTCACTTAACAAAACAATATGGTGGTATAGTTAGATATCATTCCTTGTTGAATGAAACTCATATCTTAATTACCGATCCAAAGCTTGTACAAATGATAATGATTAGTCGTGCTTATGAATTTCCGAGGCACAGGTTTTTCATAGCTGGGTTCAGGGATATAGTTGGTGAAAGTGTTATAGTTGCTGAAGGAGATTCTCATAAACGACAAAGAAAAATGATGTCTCCTTCATTTGCTTTGGCTAATATCAAGGTATTCTTTTACAATTATTAATGATCTATTAAAAATTAATCTGTACAATTATATCCAACAATTTTGACATTTCTAATTTTAAGGAAATGGCTCCAACATTCGTTCAAGCTGGTCATAATTTAAAGGATATTTGGATGAAAGAAATTGGTGATAAGGAAGAGGAAAGAATTACAATTACATCAATAATTTCAAAGATAACTTTGGATGTTATTGGTGATGTTGGTAAGTATTAATTTATATTCATTATGTATGTTTATTAATAATGTTCCTAATTGTAATCTTATTTATATTATTTATTGTAATAGGGTTTGATTACAAATTTAATTCTACAACTACGGAGTCTGAATTAGCTAAAGCATACAAATTCTTGACCAGTCGTAATATTTCGCAGTTATACCTTGCTCTTTCCAGCCTCCTTCCGTTCATTAGAAAACTTCCAATATATGATCACGAAGAATATCATGATTCTCTTAAAATTGTTTCTAGTGTTTCCGAGAAACTAGTTGTTGAACACAAAAATACTTCCTTTCAAGGAACAGATATATTGTCACTATTGACAAAAGCAAATAATAACTTACCCATTGATGAACAATTAACTCATCAAGAATTAATTGGTCAGGTAAGGGTTATTTATAATTTTATTAAACTTTTATTTAAATTATTAAAATATGTGAAGTTATTTAATACATATAAATATGTAAAATTTAAATTTATTAAATTTTAGGTTATGACATTACTCATAGCTGGACATGAGACCACTAGTACTGCATTATCCTGGGCACTATACTTTCTCGCAAAAAATCCTGATATGCAAGATCGTCTTCGCAAGGAAATACTTGATATATTTCCTGATCGTGATTGTCATCCAACTTTTGATCAAATTGAACATTTAAAATATTTAGAATGTGTCTTTAAGGAAGTTTTAAGAATGAATCCGCCTGGTATAATTTAATATCTCTTCATATTTTGAATTATTTTATTAATTACCTATTTTATTCTAACTCTATTTATATGAATTAAAGTGCCTGGACTCGTTCGTATTAATGCTAAAGATGAAGTGCTTAATGGCTACTTTATTCCAAAGGTATTTTTTTTGATTAATTTTCTATCCCTTAAACCGTCCGGTTTAGCGGGCAAATTTGCCTGCTAAAATAATTAGATGAAGCAGACTATAAAAAAAGATTTTTTTTTTTATGGAGATATTTATTACAACCAGCTATGCTGGTTCCCAAAAGCTCGAATCACACGTCACACTCGATAGCCACAGTGTGGCATACTCGAAATGATTCAAACAAAGAGCATAGGTTCACACGATGACTGTAAAGTGTGCCATTTTGCCCGAACTTTTAAATCACATTATCTTTCTCACATTGCCCCAAAAATCAGTTCTGTGAAGTTGATCGTGAAGATCGATCAAATTTAATATCATATTATGAAAGGTACTTCTACGTAATTGATCGTGAAGATCTTTCATGATTGTCACGTGAAGGTACCTTTTTTACTATTAAATTTGATCGTAAAGACTATAGTACGATCAACCATATTTAGTTGGTTTTGGGGACAGTGTTAAGGAAGTTTCTCGAGGTAAGAATTACATGACATCTAACATGTGGAGCACTTTTATTTTAGCTTAAGGAATATGAAAGTGCTTAATAAAATTTGGGTAATTGTACAAAAATTGGGCAAAAAAAAATTTTAGCGGGAAAATTCGCCCGTTAACCAGTTTAAGGGATAATGCAATTTATTTGGTAAATAATTTGTTATATGACTTTTTTTTTTTTTTTTTAGAAAACTCCATTGGTAGTTCCCATTACCGTAATTCATCGTGATCCATCAATTTGGGGTCATGATGCTGAACATTTTAACCCATCTCGGTGGCTTGATTCCGAAATAAAATCAAAAATAACAAATTGTAATTTCATGCCATTTAGTGCCGGCCCAAGAAGTTGTTTGGGAATGAAAATGGCATATTTAGAATTTAAATCTATATTAGCTGTAATTATTAGAAATTTTGAATTTAAATTAGTTGAAGGTTTTACTTTTAAACAGATATTTAATGGTGTAATTAAACCATATCCTGGAATTGATTTGATGGTTTCAAAAGTAGATTATTAACATTAAATAATATTGATTTTTAATAGCTATTATATTAAGCCTACCAATTAATTATTAAAGTTATTTTTCAAAATAACATATATTGTGAATTCACTTCAGTAAGAATAGAATAAATTAATATGGAGCGAAGTAAAAAGCAAAAAGCAAGATACCTTCTCCGAAATTTAGAAATTTAAAACCTTGCTATCTGTTATAGCCGATTAACTACCATCACGTAGCTCGCTCATCAATTTCTATCTTTTTGTATCACACACGCTATTACTATATTTATTCATTATATTATTCTTTATTTTTACTTTCTTATTATATTATTTATATTATTATATCATAATCAACTGAGAATGTGTGAAGATGAATCATTCGATATTTGAGATGCAAAATAACTTCACAGTCTTTAAGTTTACTAGTCAACACTAGGCTTAAAATTATACCATATAAGGTATGTTATCGCGCAAAACCAGAAACATAATTTTGGTAAATTATTCGAGTAGATAATTTGGTGCTTTTTTTTTGTGTTTATGAAGATTTAGAGGATTAAAATTAATATTTTATATCGTTCGGTGGAAATTTATTATTTGATTAGTGATATTATGTTGCTTGATTTTGACGTTTTTAATGTTGGTTATATTCCATTTAGAAGGTTTGATTATACAAATATTAGAATTGATTCACAGTTATTGTTATAAGTATGGATTCGATCATATTCATCTGAATATTTATTATTATTTTTTTTTTGTGTAGAAATGTTGCGTGAAGATTTTACATAAAATAAATATACTAATTTCCCTAGGGATGTTAATCAGTCCCTTGGGATCGAGTCCTGACCGATCCTCACCGATCCTTGAAAGGATCGGTGAGGATTCGATCCCTAAATCACATGATAGCTCATTATGATACAGATCCTGGGACCCGGTCCCTTTTATAAATCCTAGGACCCGCTTTCGCTAGACGTCAGAATAGACTTTAACAAGAAAGAACGCTTGCCGTGGGCAGATGTTTTTTTTTTTTTTTTTTTTAAAGGCGTATGCCTTTAATATAGAAGTAATTTAAATTCCAATTCAATATGACTAAGAGTTAAAGAATAATAACAGGTATGATTTTAACTAACTCTTTAGCCAAAAAAGCAGTGTGCTTTAGTTAACCATCTCCGAATTCAAATATATAATTAGACGTGAGTAAACTTATAAAAGTTAAGTTATTGAATATTCAACGACAAAAGAAGTATCGCTCATACATTACTTTTTAAGAGCGATAAAGGCACCACCCTTACTAATGACAAAGACGAAACACCTTAAAGAAGGTACCACCTCCTTTGCTAATGGAAAGGTGAACCCCTTAAAAAAGTTAACCATCTCCGTCTTTGAATATATAATAAAGGTGAGTTAAACTTTTCAAAGCTAAGTCATTTAATATTAAACAATCAAAGAATATACTTACACTTGTTTATCGTCTCCGGCTTTGAATATAATAAAGGTGAATTAATCTTATCGAAGTTAAATCACTTAATATTAAACACAATCGAAGATACTTACACTTGTTGACCATCATTGTATTAAAATTAGCCTATATGAATAAAAATTTAATCAATAATAAAGGCGATATACTATTTAACTGATAACAAAAGCGTTTGTTTTAAAGTAAACCATTCCGTTTTGATAGTAACAATGAGAGAAGTTTTTGCAAGTAATAAAAGTAGCATAGTATTTCACTCGTTTATCAAAAAAAACATTCATGTTTTAAGACGAACTATCCCGTTCGATAGAACAAAGTCAGTACGATTTAAAAAAACTAACTATATTTAAAGCAGAATTGTTGATAATGATATCTTCTTAGTGAACAAAAGCTGTATATTTTTAACAAAGTAATGCATTTGTAAAAGTTATTTAAAGCTTCCATTTTCTTCTAAAAAAAAATAAAAAATAAACAAAAAATAAATGGAAAAAACAAACGAATTTGAATCAATTATTGAAACAAATCAATTCGAATTCGAATTTACAGAAAAAGAAACATCTAGTGAAGAAACCTCTACAAGCGATGAATTTGCACCCTTGTCTCTAGATAATACAAATGAATCACAAAAAAAAATCTCTTCCACACATAACCGAGCACCTGTTCGAGATTACCTTTTACCAACCTCTGATGGAGGTAAAAGATGTAAATTATGTGAACAAACTTTTGGCAACCTGACCGTGATATCAACTATTAACCGACATTTTCAAAATTTTCACCCTTCAGAATTTATCAAAATCAAACAACGTAGATTTCGACGATTCGATCCTTATGGTCCAAATGAAAAATTTAAAGTTGACATTTTAAATAATAAACTTTTAAGATGGGTAGTTGTTGATTAGCAATTATTTTTATTAGCTGAAAATACAGAATTTAACAATTTTTTACAAGAACTCGACCCTCATTACAGACTCCCATGCCATCAAACACTTTCAACTTGGGTTAATCAAGAGTATATTAAAAATAAAAATAAAATTAAATTTTTTTTAAATACAATTTCATCTAAAATCTCAATTACAATGGATGATTGGACATCGTGTATTCAACAACCCTACATTGGCATAACAGCACACTGGATAGATCCTGAATAAAAAATGCATCGAATCTTATTAGATCTTATTCCATTTAATCAAACCCATACTGCTATAAACCAAAGTGAAACGATTATTGAACTTCTAAAAGAAATGACTATTGGTCATAAAATTTTAGGAATCATGACAGACAATGCCTCAAATATGATTGCGATGGGGCGTATTCTTAAAGATAAAATAAATGACAAGTTTAATAATCAAAATCTACAACATTTTTGTTGTGGTGCACATGTTCTTAATATTATCGTTGAAGAGGGAATTAAATTAATCAGTAAAGAAATTTCCAAAGCACGGGAGTTCTCTATAAAGCTTTGAAACTCTCCATTGCTAATTCGTGAATTAAACCAAATTTTTGAAATAAAAAAGCTTCCATTTTTAATGCCCAAAACTGATGTGAATACCAGATGGAATAGTATGTTTATTATGCTAGAAAAACTTCAATGAATCCGTCCCCTTACCGATATTCTTGTAATGAGCAATCAAACATTAAAACCGATTTATCCTAATGAGCAAGAATGGCAATTTATTGTTGTTAGTAATTATAATTTTAAATTTTTTTTTTTAAATATGCTTGACTTTAATAAAATATGAATAACAGGACCTCTTAATTCTTCTTGAGCCTATGTATCATGCAACTGCAATGCTATCTTCTTCAACAGTTCCTACCCAGGGTGACTTGCGCATGATATTCCATAGTCTTATTCTACACTTAAATGATAATGAAAACCCAGTAGTTAATACACAACATGCTGTAGCTAATGTCATGAAAGCAAAATTTATATCATATTGGGTCCACTTAAATGAATCGTCAACAATCTCGGGCCTTCTTGATCCATATAATAAACTTTTGACCTATGAAATTAGTGAACGTGAACAAGCTATTAATCAGCTTCATGAAATGTACAAAAATTATAAACCTCCTGAAAAAAATGAGCTATCACCACCATTTACTACCACTACTACTAAATCAACACGTGAACTTTTTCACACCCTTACGAACTGCTGTCAAGTCAATTTGAACCGATATGAAATTAGCAAATATTTAAATGAACCTGAGACTGAAGCAGATCCACTCTTATGGTGGAAAGCAAATTCTAAACAATTCTCAACTCTCTCCTGTGTTGCAATGGATTTTCTTGCTGTGCAAGCCACAAGTGTACCGAGCGAACAAGCCTTTTCTATTGCAAAACATACAATAAGTCCCACCCGAAATCATATAAATCCTGAAGTGACACGTGCATCACTATGTATAAAAAGCTGGTATAGGGAACTAAATGATGTATTAAATGAAGAGATAAGTGATATTAGTACTTAAGAAATAAAGGAAATATGGTTTTTTTTCTTTTTTTTTATACTTATAAATGTTTTATTATATAAATATCATATTTTTTATGTTTTCTATAAGCTTATGTTTTTTATATATACGTATAAGTTTTTTATGTAACGATAAATTTATGTTTGTACGTAATAAAAAAATTTCAATTTTTTAAAAAAAAAATTGTATCAATCTGATTAGATGGACTTGTTTGGAGGACAGCAATTCAGGATCTAATCTTGGGATCTTGTAACTCATAACAGATCCGGAACCATCCTTTTAGATTCTAGAATCGGACTGGACCAGATTCGCAATTTAATATCCCTAAATTTCCCCCATAGTAAAAAATAAGGATGTTTTTCTTTCATAGTCAGAAGTTTGTCTAATTGGCTAATAAATTCAATTTAATTTTACATTATTTATACTGTTTAGAGTACTTTTTTAAAGAATGAAAATCAACCACAATAAAGTAAAAAAAAATGTATAGAAGGTTTTATTAGAGCTGTAGGACTCTATAGCCAAAAATAAGATCTAATTCTTGTCCGTTTAAAAAAGTTAGTATAGCAATAACTTCTTAAAGCCTGATAATTACAAACCTAATTTTTTAAACGGACGAGAATTAGATCCTACAACTCTAATGAAACCTTCTAAATGGTTGGTTTTTGTTTTTTAAAAAGTACTCTAAACTGTATAAATAATGTAAAATTAAATCGAATTTATTAGCCAACCAGGCAAACTTCTGTCTGTGGTTTTTCTTCATTTTATATGACATCATAACGGCATTTTTCGACTCAAATATTTTTAGTCAGTACGACAAAAAAAATGGCCATAAAAAGAGAATTGCAAACATAATTTTTGCTTTACTAGCAATCATATTAAATGAATTTAAAAAACTTCATCTTTAATTATAATGATACTATTACTCTAAGAGAATTACTAAAGTTCTTTGCTCTAAATAACTATCTTCTATCAAGAATGTTAAGATCTTGATTTAATATTACTATTGTAACAGCTAATGAATTTAAAACTTTTGTCAAGAATAAAACCATTATGCAAACTAAAAGAATTATTTTCAAATTTTATAATATAAAAATTGAAAGTGCACCAGAGAAAATGACAAGAAATGATAAGGAAATAATAATTATTACTTTAAATTTGGTTGCTTTTACTGATTAAAAGTAGTGATTATAAGTCAAAAACCCATTATGTGATCATATAGAAACGTGGAATAAACTGCTAAATCTCAATCAACCTGGCCTGACTAATACCTCTTATTCCTGCCTGCAGATCAATTGAAAAAAAATTTCCAACTCAATATCGTGTTTACAAAAAAGATCATGTGTACTCACATACATATGCATATTTAACAAACAATTTAATTGATAGAAAAACTGCCTAAGTAATCAGCTGAGGAGCTTTACTTCATGAGTGGGGCCATGATTTCATTAGTAAAACTTTTAGTGATCTTGGACAAAATTAGTTAATTCTGGTCCTGCCAATCATAATTCCTGTATGAGTTTAGTGTGATCATAAAATTAACTGAATTTATATATGATACTTGTAAATGTTTGGAAAACTGCAACTTGATCACTTTACGATTCAGAATCTTACATAACAAACAATAGATAACCTTATGAAAGAAGGGTATTAGATTTGCTATTGAGTAATTAAAGCTTGGTTACTTGAGTTAGCAAAGTCATGTATATTAAGTTACATGAACAAGAACTTAAATGTACAATAATTTTTATGAGGTTTACAAAGTTTATATTAGAATAATAACAAATTATTATAATAAATAATTTTATAAAAAGAGGTATGATGACTTAGTGAAATAGATAAGTTGTCAACTCCTCAAGTAGTAGGTTGGATGTTCAAACCTTATTAATAGTGAAAATATGAATTATCACTTATATAATACTTATATTATGGTAACTGTTTTTAATTATTGGGTTAAGATATCTATAATAGCAGTTGTATTAACATAACTGGTAGATTATAGGGCATCTATATAAGTATAGCATTATACAAAGAAATACAAACTGGTATTAGACAATGCAAACTCTAGATAAGTCCTTGTAGTTGTATAAATCTGTTGAAATTAGAAAATATGAAGTTTATTTGGGAAGATCTAAGTAGAATGATAGCATGAATCTTAACAACACTATTGTAAAAATTAGTCTTATAAATAGATACAATATCAAAATATCCAGATAAGCAAGAATCTTTGGATTAGAAGTTTCTAAGGTATTCTTAAGCAGGCTATTAGAACAAACTAAAGGAAAAGAATAATGAATTGATCTGATATACCAATAGACTAGTCATAGTTCTAATAAGTTATCTAAATTGAAAGTCTAGAAAACAGACAGAGATATAGTAAAGTATTTCAGATATGCTATGAAATAAATGCTAAGATTTGAGTAAACTTTACAAGAATACAGTAATTTAATGATTAGACCTAATTGTAAGTATTGGTTCTGTTCTAGTAATATCAGATTAGCTATAAAAATAGATACAAAGACTTTAGAAGATTTATTTTAAGGATAAAATAGTCCTAGGTTTAAAATAATGATCTGGACATAATTCAATAATATTAATACAGATTCAAACTCAGAAGATTTAAAATAAAACACTTAAGCAAAGGTATTAAATATAACAATTGATAGAGAACTTTTATGCAAACTTCTTAAATATATAATATAAAAAGTTATATATATAGTCAATTATAGATTCTTCTTGTAACAGTTTATGGAATCATATTATTAAAAAACTCATTAATAAAAATCAAAAAATAAAAAAATCATCTTAATATCAAAAAAAAACAATCTTATAAAATTAAGACTTATTATTTAATAAAATAAATAAGACTTTATTTTTTAATAATTATTTTAAATATATAAATATTAAAATATTTTTTTTAAATTCTTTAAATAAGCTTTCTTTAAAAATGTTAAATCAATTTTGATGATCTATCAACCAATATAATTAATAAAATTTTGAAATAATTTCAAATTATACAATTTTGCAATATAGTTTAGTATATTTTAGAGATAATTGTATATTTAAAATTATTAAATATATTTTATACATTATTTTGATATTTTTATATATTGTAATATTAGAAAATTATAATTGATCATATAAAAAATACATGAAATGTAATAAGTTACATTTGTGATCAAGAATGGTGTTTTGGATACAAAGGGTAGTTTAGAAAAATGTAAAAAAAAATTACACATCCTTAAAGAAATAAAACAGTAATAGAAAAATTAAATAAGTAATTAAAATAAAATTAGATAGTCTTAAAGTAATAATAAGTATGAAATCATATTTGTAAATAATGAATTCAGTAATATAAATAAAGACTAAATAGTTCTGAGGAACAGTATGCTTTATTGGCTTTATTAAAATACAAGTTCTAATACATTATAATGTCTATAATAAAATACTAATACTAAATTAGTAAATATTCTATAAACATCATCATTCATGTAAGTTCTTGTTCACATGACTAACTCTACTTGTATTCATTAACCCAAAGTAACCAAAAGCCTTAATAATCTATTAGCCAAATCTAACATTCTTTTTCAAAAGATTATTTATCATACATTATGTAAAAAATTGAATTGTAAAGCAACAGAGTCATAATCTTTCAAACTTAACAATATATATAAAAAGAAAGTTATTTAAATAAGTTTTTATAATAATTATTATATTATTAAAATTAGTTTGATATTTATTAAAAAATTCAATAATCAACTCTTCTTATTATTCTTAAATTTCAAAATAAGTAAAAACAAAATACAGAAATAATACAAAAATAAACTAACAAATAATATTTAAATGTCTAATAGAATAGTTATATTACTAAAAATAAATATAATATATATATATTTTTTTTTTTTTGTTATGCCAAAGTAGAAACTTTATTAAATAATAAAAGTAATTACATTAAAGATTTCTAAACTAC